TGAGCGGTGGTCCTTCCTGCAGAGCGGAGGCAATTCTGACTTGTTTATTTAACTGAATGGCCTGCTCTGTCAGTTTGAGCAATTCACTCAAGGCCCTCCTGGATCGAATTGAGGGAAGCCCAGAGTCTGGTTTGGACCCCTCTCTGTGTCACCCACGAATCCCCACCCCGAGGGGCAGGCTCCCTTTCCGTGGCAGTCACCCAGCAGGACCCAGCCTGCCTGGGTTCTGGTGTCACCCTCTCTTACACCTGGCTCAGCGGGGAAGACCCTGAGATATTCTGAGGCCAGTCCCTGCCCACAGCCACCTTCAGGAAGCAGGGTTCCCGAGGGCACCTCCTGGAATCATCCTCATTTGGACCATGGTCCCCAGATGTTAGGCCGGGCAGGGAGGGGCAGTCTTCTAGCCTCGGCCACGTGCTCACTGGGTCGGCTATCCATGAGCACCAAGACCTGAGCTTCAGACCGTCCTTGCTGCTTCTTGCAGGGTCACCTCTCCATCCACCAGCCTTCAGTCTGAAAGTATCCTGGCGAGAGCTTGAGAGGACTGGAAACCAACTCAGCCTCTTGCTCGATGTCCCCAAAGATTTGGGGGAAGCAACTCCTGTCCGGTCAGAGTCGCCCCAGCAGTGACGGCTCCCTCTCACCTGCCTGTAGCTCAGGTGTCTCTTCCCAGCAGAGACGCCCCAGCCTCCCTCCACCATGGCCCTTGGAGTGGCTCCTCTGCTTTAAGCAGCTCACATTCTGCCAAGCCAGGTGTCTAGGTGTCCCAAGGTAAGGAAGCAAACATGGGCTTCTGCAGAGCAAGGATGCATCCTGACCTTGGACTAATGATATTTACATTGAAACTACGTGGAGCCACGGCCTCAGACATAAACACCAGCACATGTCCCGTGAACCCAAGACGGATGCTCTGTCATCCCCTCTGCATCATTTGCGAAGCACTCCTCACACCTGTGAGCATTTTGCCACCTGCAGATGGACCATGTCGCAGTGACTGAGCGTACCCCCTGCCATAGGCTCCCCAGCCTCATCCTCATCCTCTGAGCAGAAGGCAGGAAGATTCTTCCCTTCCAGATCCAAGGAAGGAACGCAGCTTCCTCTTCTCACTCGCGGCCTCATCCATCACCTCCAGGAAAATCTCTCCCATTCCTGCACGCCAGGCTCCGACTTCCCTCCAGAGTTCTGTTCACATCACTGTGCCTCCGGGGCTGCCAGCACTTCAGACTCGTGCCTGAAATAAGACCGGCTGTCTGGCTTCTTATCTTGGCCCCTGTGCTCTGCTGAGGGTCTTGATGGTGCCTCCCACCCCTTCCCTCATTCCTCCCTGGCCAGCAGAGGTGTCTCTTTCCTCTGGTGTGCACAGCACCTGCTTGCTTGTGGGGAGGATGCAAGCTTCAATCCAGTCATGCAGGAGCACGGATTCAGGAAAGGGAGACAGAGCATCTGTGCTGCATGGGAGAGAGGATAAGGTTAACGGAGGAGCAGGTATCCAGGGAAATGGGAGGGAAGGGGCTGATGGTTATAGGCTGCCCACCCTTCACCTGGCATTCAGCACCTGCTTTGGTTTCAGTTTCCCCAGAAGCAGGTCCTCAGGGCAGGTCTGGGGGCATGTGGCTTGTTTGGGAGGGGAGCCCAGGAAGCTATAGCAGGAGAAGAAGGATACAAACAGAGTAGTCAGCCAATAAAGAGTTCCCTGGCCAGCAAAGCTCCATGCCTCCGGGCACTCAGGCACCATACAGTGTTGTCTCTCCCAAGGCCAAGAAAACTGTCCTGCCATCCAGGATCATACCTGGCGTTTGGAGCCTCTGCCTCTGCCCAGCGCAGAGAGCCCAGTGCTGGGCTTGGGCCGGGTGTTGGGGGGGAGAGTGACCTCGGGACCCCACCACACCTGCACTGTGTCTCTAGGGGCCCCATCAAGCAGTAAGGCAGGTGGTCTTGCCTCACTAGCAATGGACAGCCATGGAAAGCCCAGGCAACCTGCATGGAATGTGATCTGGCTGTGGAGGCGGGGGCACCACACTTCCCAGGCTTCCTGGGGTCAGCCCGGCTCACATCTGCGTCCCCAGCCCTGCTCACTGGCAGGGGCCCACCCTCCTCAGGCCCCTCTGCTCTCTCCCTGCCCCTCCATGGCCCTGTCTCAGGGCTCCCAGGCATTGCTTCTGCCCGCTGCCCATGGCACTGGGTGCCCATGGCTCTGCTCTCCCTCGCCACCCACTGCCTGGGGCTCCTGGCTGCCTACAACCTGATAAACCTCAGTGCTTGCCTTGTTCATGAGCTTGAGGAGCTGGGCACATATGAAACTGACTCTGGATTTCCCCCCTTTGGATGCAGGTTCTGACTCTTCCACTGAGCATCTGTGTGACCTTCGGTGACTCACTTGTCCTCTCTGTGCCCAGGTTTCCTCCCCTGCAAAGTAGAGGCCTCCTGTTAACTCACCTTGTGGGGTGTGTGGAGGCTGTTCCTGTATTTCCAACTGCTTCCGCTCATCCTCCTTGCAGGCCACAGTCCTCAGCCCCAGAGACCCTGTTGAGGCTTTTTTTTATTTTTACAGTGTGATGAAATATACCAGCTCACCCATTTAAGGTGTTCAGTGGCAGTAAGTACATGTCTGCTGTCATCACGCTCTCTCTCCTGAGTCAGATTCCTCCTTGTCCCAAAAGACCACATTCAGGGCTGCCCACCCAAGCCTTCCCAAGACCCATGCATCCTCAAGCTGGCTGGTCACCAAGCCTGACTTCCTCCTGCTTCACCATCAGCCTGTGCTGTACTCACACACCCATTGTTCCCTGTTCTCCTGCCAATCAGGTGTCTTCTTTGCTCCTTACAGTGTAGCTTTGACCTGCCTGGGAGTCCTTTCGCCTCCTTCATGAGACTGAACGCCTCCTCCTTGAAGCCCTCCAGGCTGCCATTCATGGCGACATTTCCTTGCTGACAGCATGTTCTGAGGATGTGCTGTGAACTTTCTTTTGCTGACTCTCTGGGGCCAGGGCTGTGCCTTACATGGTGAATGGGTGCTCAGGTACATGGATAATAGACTGAGTGTATGACTCAGGATTGGCTGTCCAGTTGGTGCTAGTGGTAAAGAACCTACTTCACACTGTAGGATATATAAGAGATGCTGATCCGATCCTTGGGTCGAGAGAATCTCCAGGAGAAGGGAATGGCAACCAGTATTCTTGCCTGGAGAATCCCATGGACAGAGGAGCCTGGTGGGCTACATACAGTTCATGGGGTCACAAAGCATCAGAGGCGACTGAAGCGACTTAGCATGCATGAATACATACGAATCTGGACACCCCGAACTAAGATGCTAAGATGTGCATTCAAATCAACACTAGGCAATGACTTGGAGACCATTTTTCCATTAAGTCCACAAATGTTTATTGAACACCGACTATGTGCCAGGTATTTCCCTAGGCACTGGGGATATTCCAGTGTAAAAATACATGGCTTGTCGGGAGCTTCTATCACAGTGGACTGAGATCTCTTCTATGCATTCGGTTTTGGAGACACAAAGATTTAAAAAATCCAGATGCAATGATTTCATAAGCATAAGCTTCATTTTCCTTGCAAGCAAAAATGAGGTTAAAATAGTTATCTCATAGGGCCGTTTAGAGGATCAAATAAAAAGATGAACGTTTTTGGCACTGACGCCACAACAGATACTATTTTCTCCCTGAAAAGTCAAAAAAGCCACACTTAGCTTCACAAACCCCAAGACAGCCCGACCGGCAGTCAGGCCCTGGCGCCTTTCTTCGGTAGCCCAGTCCTGGGCTGTGCAGGGTCCGCGGGCCAACCCTGGACCAGGCAGTGCCAGCCCCGGCGGGGCCCAGAGCGGCCACGAGGGGGCAACGCTCGGCAGGGAATCCGCGCCACCGGCCGCGGCCCCGCGGCCCCCGGGCCTCCGTGCGCTCTTGCGTCGCTGTGACGCGCCCGAAGGCGGGCGCCGGGAAGGAGACCGCGGCTCCCCTCGTCTGCGCCTCTGAAGAAGGGATCGAGCGCGTCCCCAGGGCTGCCCGTGCCAGACTGGGGTCCGGCGGGCAGCGGGGAAGCCTCAGACCCGCGTCGCGCGGAGGACCCCAGCGCCCTCCCCCCTCCGCCTCGCCCGGCGCCCCGCGCGCCCACCCGGTGGGGCTGTCACTTCCGCGCGCCGCCGGGCAGGGGACCGGCCGTCGTCGAGGAGGATGCCCGGGTGCTGGCTGCGTCCCCAGGCTGCTGGCCGGCGCTGCCCAAGGAGGCGGTCGGGATAGCGCCGCCCAAACTTTCCTTCGCTGCAGCGTCAGGCGGAAACATCCCTCTCCGAGGCTCACGGAGAGCGCAGGAGGCTCAGTCGCCAGAGGGGACAGGCCCGGGCCTGCGCTGGGGAGCGCCCCGGAGTTCCTGGGGGCGCTGAAGGTGCCTTAAGAGCAGGACTGGTGTCCAGCCTGCGCCAGGCGGGGCAGGTCCAGGGCGCGGCTGCCCCTTCCCGGCGCCCCCGCAGTGACCGTGACCTCCGCGCGCTCCCCGCGCACGTGCTCGCGGCCGAGGACGAGGAGGGGTCTGGCTGCACCCGCTGGGCAGCGGCTCGCGGGCAGGCCCAGGGCGCACCGAGGCAGTGCGGGGGAGCGCGCACGCCGCGCCCCCGCCTCTCCCGGGATCGGACTGGCGGCTGAGAGCTCAGAGCCGCCGGGTGTCTTGCCCGCCCGGCGGCGCCGCTGGAACCCGTGCCGGCCGGACTCGCAGAAGAGGGACAGGTGTAGCCCGCATCTGCGGGCGCTGAGCTCCGAAGCACTGGGTGGGCTTGGCGGTCCGGAGGGGTCTTGCGGGACTCGGAGCTCCGGTCCCTGCCGCGCAGGCCGATTGGTACCCCTTGGCGCTGCCAGCCTCAGGGAAGGAAGTCACCGTGTAGCCCGGTCCCCCAGCGGCCGTCCAGGCGCGACCCTGGCGCCCATTGCCTGCGGCAGCGCCCGCAACGGCCCCGGGACCTAAAGGTGCGCGCCGTCGCCGCCGGCGCCGCCCCCATGCTGCTCGGAGCGCCCAGGCTGTGCGCATCCCGGGCGGCCGCCGCGGCGCAGAGAGAAAACGACGGCGACAGGCTGGGCGGGGACATGGATGAGTCGTCGCTGCTGGACCTGCTGGAGTGCTCCGTGTGCCTGGAACGCTTGGACACGACGGCCAAGGTGCTGCCCTGCCAACACACCTTCTGCCGCCGCTGCCTGGAGAGCATCGTGAGCTCGCGTCGCGAGCTGCGCTGCCCCGAGTGCCGCATCCTGGTGGGCTGCGGCGTGGACGAGCTGCCCGCCAACATCCTGCTGGTGCGCCTGCTGGACGGCATCCGCCAGCGGCCCCGCGCCGGAGCCAGCCCCGGCAGCAGTCCGCCCGCGCGTCCTGGCCCGGGCCCCAGCCCCGCTCCGGGGGCGGCCTCGGTGCTCGCGGGTGGCGGGGGTAGCTCTCCTGGCTCCCCAGTCCTCCTCCCCGCGGCGACCGGCGCCACCTCCAGCCTGCGCGAGCTGGCGACCAGCAGGAGCACGCCCCCAGCAAAGGTGGGTGTGCGCTTCTCCGAGTTGTGAGTGTGTTGAGGGCGGGGGCAGTGCGGAGGTGCAGGGGACCAGAGCTGTTCCACGATGGCCTTCACCTTGTGCTTCTTTCTCGACTGGCTTCCCTCCATCGACTCCGTGGGTGTAACCCTCCGAGTCCCACTTGCCAACTCTGGGGCATCACTGTGCTTCCGTCCCACCCCCTTCCAACTTCTTGTGAGCTGACGTCTATTTACCTCTCTGGAATCCCTCTGCCACCTGCACTTATTATGTGGCCTGTGTGTGCGTGTCAGCGCCCCCCCCCCCCCACTTGATGTGGCCAGGACTCCCTGTCCCCTGTCCCCATCCAGTCCCCCGCTGCACTGGACCTGTTTCTCTACCTGTAACTTTGCTGGGCCATCGGTCTCTCTGGACATAGTCTTCTCCTGGACCCCAGGCTAACCGTCTGTACACCCTTGCCCACCTGGACTGAAGTTAGCGCCTGCTGATTTCCCAGGTCCTGGCTGCTGGGAGGGGGAAGGGGAAGGGGGGACCTCCTGCCTGGTATCTGGGAAGGGAGAGTCTGGCAGAGGCCAGTGCGCCTGGGTTATGAGAACACACACTGCAAACCCGTTTAGCAGGAGGGAAGAAGTCAACCTGGAGCCGAGGAATGTCTGCCTCAGCCCTTGGTGGACCAGGCCAGTCTGGCAGCCCTGGTCCTGTCCTGGGATCTCAGGCCTGCTGTGTTCCCACTGGGTTGTTATTTGAGGGTTTTTCTCCTTTTGCCTTTGGCGTAGCTCTGTTGTGCAGCATGGACTGCTTCTGTTTCAGAGACCGTATCTGGAGGGTTCCGGCGGTTTTGTTTCAAGAGCTACTCACAGAGTGTGTCATTTCACACCTGGGCCACCTTGGGCTCTGTGGCTGGGGGAAGCCAGCCCGTGGGATGCTGGTTTAAGTGAGAGATGAGGAAGTACTTGTGTTTCGTGTTTTGTTTAAATGTGGAAAAGCTTAAAAAGATTGTTGATCTGTTGCAAATATTCACTTTAGAAAGCACAGCCATACCCCTCTGCTTTTGACCTTTTAAAGGTCTGGTGGTGCAGAAGCCATTTAATGAATCCTTCTTATATCTGAAGTACTGCAGTGAGGGAAGGTCTCCACCGAATTGCTCAGTGCTGCAGTGCCTCTGAGGTTAGGAACTTAAGCCCTTGGGTAGTTAAGCTTTGGAGTTAAAAGTCAGACTTTGCCAAACTGGGTTTTTCCTATGAATCAGGGGGAACGACCATTCTCAAGTCAAAAATAGTCAAGGAATATTTATAAATGGGATCACTGCTGAAGGGGAATTGATGATATTAATTGCATGCATGCTCAGTTGATTCAGTCCTGTCTGACTCTTTGCAACCCCATGGACTGTAGCCCACCAGGCTCCTCTGTCCATGGGATTCTCCAGGCAAGAATACTGGAGTGGGTTGCCATACCCTTCTCAAGGGGATCTTTCGGACCCAGGGATGGAATTGGCATCTCCTGTGTCTCCTGCATTGCAGGCAGATTCTTTACTGCTGAGCCACCAGGGAAGCCCGATTGTGTTAATTAATTTGGTTTTTAATTGTGATTGAATCCAGTATAAGTGATCTTGTTACAGATTTTCAAACTTTTCTTTCCTGCCTTGCTGTTATTGTCTAAGGTATTATAACTGAAGGGCCCCCCCCCCTTTTTTTTACGAAACAAGTGGGTTACCTCCTCTGGCTCAGAGAATTAAATGATTTTTGAATGATGCTTCTATTGAGGACGTTTTGTGAATGGAATCTGATCAGGAGGGTGGGAGGCCTTGAGGCAGCTCCTGGAATCCATGGCATTTGCAGCACTTAAAGACATTTGTGAAAGGGCTGAACTTATAATTTTTAGTGATGACACTTAGTTCCAGAGAATTAATTTTTTGTCTTCTGGAGTTGGGGATGATTAACTGACTTTCTTTCTGGACACCTGCAGAAAACAGATTCTGTCCAGGTCTGTCTGAACCCGGCAGACTCTGGAACACATTTCCTTTTTTCATTTTCCTGTTTTACCTAAGTGTGAGCTCAGTCCTTTCTTTCAGGCCCCCCTCACCAAGACTAAGCTTGTGTCTTAGGAAGGGTCCGAATTAAAGCTGATATTACATTTGATCATTTTCAGAGAGGAAAGAAAGAGTAGCGTCCATGTGGACTGTAGTATCATCTAGCATTTTAGCCACTGGTTTTCAATAATTGCCGGGTGTCTTCTTGGGCAACCAGATGTCCTGCATAGAGGACTGTTAGCAGCCCTGTGAGTGTGGCAGGCAAACCTTAAGCTGAGCCTTACTTCCAGGTAGGTACTTGACTGTCCACTGGAATAAATCTGGATCCGGGTGTTGCCATGTGCTGTTTCATAGATGGGCACTTTGTACTATGTATGCCTTAGTAGTAGGTGACTAAATAAAAGACAGTCCCATTTCCCAGCGAGAAGCTGGGAACCTTCCTTTGGGTCAGTGGGGAAGTGTGGATGTTTTATTAGGTGGGTAGATTAGCAGGTATCTGCTTAGATGTCTGTTAATTTAGTGACAGGTAGATGCTGGAATGGACTTAACTCCACTCGGTTCTGGGAGCACTTTCCACACCCTCACTTGCATCTTTCACTGGAGGTGCTCAGACCCTCCAGCCTGGTGGGCGGGGCTCTGCGTACACCTGTGTCGCCTGGGACAAGGTGTTAGAAATGAGTTAAGTCTGCTGCCCTGGAGCTCTTACACTGTGGTTTTGGTGCCCACCGCCCAAGGCTGGCAGATGCCACCATCCTGTGTGGCTATCAGAGTTGCCTTAGCCCGTGGGATGTGCTGCCACAGCAATTGCTGAGTTTTTCAGCCTAAGCTTTTTTTTTTTTTTTTTTCTGTTTTACAGTTTTGCAAGGTGACCCCTCAAAACACCCTAACTACACTGATGGAGGTTTTTAGGGCCACTGGTCTTTCTGAGAGGGTTTTGTGGTTCCCAGTTGAGTAATTCAGAGAGTACTTTTTAATGTGAATGAGTAGGGCACAGATAGCAGGAACTGCAGTCTTTTTGTGAGTGATTTTTTGGGAAAATCCCTTGCTTGTATTTGGCATACACCTGCACTGTGCAGGCACCATCCTGGGTGACCAGGTAGGCGTGTCCCCGATGGAGCTGACGTTAGGGCCTGGAGCCATTCTACTCTCAGGAGGTTCCTGGAGGCACCAGGCAGGTTTTGGCCAGAACTTTGTGGTGGTTAAAGGAAGGACATTATCACAGTTAAAGGCCTATGGAGGATTTGGCTAAGGCTCTTGCTGATGGAAAACATAGTGCTAGAGTCTGATTAGTTTGCCCACAGGTACCTGGGGCTGTTTAAGCTGGAAACCTGTGTATCTCTTGGCCAGCAGTATCTCCAGATGCAGTCCGGGTAATGGGAGCGACCCAGTAATGGGAGCAGTGAAATGAACCACACCAATGATGTCTATTTGCTATTTTATCTTATAAACACGTACAATAATTCACCACATTTTGGATGCAGAATCAGAGTGTTCTCTGGGTTCTAACTTGCCTTTCTAGTTTAAGCCACAGTCAGTTTGTGGTGTCCTATTTGTTTCTTTCAAATGGACTGAGGACTAAGAGACTCAAAATAATCTGAGTGGAGCACCTCCAAGATTTGAAATAATTCCCCCTGAATGTGTTCTGTTTTTGTTCCTGCCAAGTGACAGTTTTAAAGCCATCTCTCTTTGGTAAGTCTTTCCTAAGTCATCACCTTGGTTTTCCAAGAAGTTACTTTTTCTGCACTTAGATTCCTTTGGTTTACATACTATTTAATTAGAGTTGTATCTGTATGTAAGTATATAAGCACGCTTGCATAAACATGCTTGAGAATCCAGACAGCGGACTCCCGGTGAGCACCAGCCTGCCTCGCAGGAGTGTTGACCTGGACAGTGGCCAGTCAGGTGCAGCCCTCTGTGGGGTGCACACCTTGGCCGTCCTGTGGAGGGTTAGGGCTAGGACATGACTGTGTCCTGAGGGTGGGAGGCTGTGGCTTGGTGTCACAGGGGCTCAAGAGAAGGGACCTGGAGGTTATGAAAGCCAAGCTGCTCCCAGGACAGCAGGCAGTGGTGACACAGCGGTCACTGTGTCTCCAGGTCAGATGCCAGCCTTTGTGATGGAGGAGCCGTGCCAAGTCCTTCGGGACGTGTTTTTAGAAGGGCCCTGGGTGCAGAACCAGCTCCTCTGGGACACGTGGCCATTATTGAGCGCTTGCTGTGTGCGGGTGGGCCAGGCAGTATAAGTGTGTCTCCTTGTTTTCCAACCTCAGTTCAGTGAGGCTGCTTCTTAGCAGATGGAAACTGACCTTGGAGTTGAACTCTGGACACACCAGTCTACTGGCTTCTGGATTAGCTACCTCTCGCTATCACAGACCTAATCAGTTAGAGACTCTGGTCCCAAACCAGGAGGCTGGGTCCTGAGGTCACTCTGCCCACAGCTGCAGGTGTTTTGGGCCCTGTGGGCGGGCCTGTGCAGAGTGAGGTGCTGGTGGGGGTCCCGGTGGGAGAGCGTCATGTTGGCCGTGGCTCTGGGGACAGGTTGCCAGCAGCTCTAAGTGTGGAGGCCTGGGCACCTGGGGTCTGTCCAGGGCTCCGTTCTGTCCTCAGGGAGGCATCCTCGTCCGTCCTGTTCTGTCACTGTCCTGGGATGACAGCAGGGGTCTCAAAGCAGATGCAGGGGCCTCGTGACGCTGTGAGAGGTCAGGCGTTCACTGTTGAGGTCAGGGAGCAAACCCAACTCGGCCGCCCTCCACCATAACCCCCCCCCCCCCACACACACCACACAACCCCGCACCCCATCCCTTAGGACTGGAGCCCAGCTCCTTGGGGTTTGGGACCCAGGCACACCTCCCCCTGGGCCGCGCCCCACCACCCACCTCAGGTGTTGGCGGGTCTCTGGGCTCCGGAGGGCCATGTGAGGAGGGTGCGTGGGGACTTGATGGACAACCAGGACTAGCAGTGAGGATGGATGTGTTCATCC